CTCTACTGGGCTCTTAGCCATCCTGTAAGTAACCGGGTAACCTATCATGCCAGCCATGCTGTAACCATCATAACCACCCTGTGCGTAACCCTGTACGTGTATGAGCCAATACCCGCGTGATTTCCTTCTTTTCTCAACACTGAGCTCTCGGCCATCATGTAAGTAATCAAATAATCACCCATACCAGTTGTGATGTAACCATCTCACTCATCCTGTGAGTAAGCTCATAACAGCACCACCCAAATGTGATTATTGGGCTAGCGTCCCCCCTTCAAATGCCCATACGTTGTAGTCCTGGGTTCATCTGCTCGAGCATTGTGCTTTCCCCAAGATCAAGCATGCATCGATTGGTGCTCACCACTAGGTGCTTTTGGAAATATTCTGATGAATCGCCTTCCAATTTCAATCATGGATTGGTGCTGACTGAGCAAAGGAGCGAAGGAGCGCTCCTTTGCTCCTGTCTTTCAGGAGTATTCCCGGGCTCAGATTGTCTTGCTGATCAACCTGGCTGCAGTGTGAAGGGGTTGGAGGAGGAAGAATCATGTTGACCTCTTTCACCAGAGCTGGTTGGCTAAAACTGTTCTCTTCCTCCATCCGTGCTCTCTCTTTGTGCCCGCTTCCAGGAGTATTCCCGGGCGCAGGTGATATCGCTGATCAACCTGGTTTCAGTGATGAAGGGGTGGAGGAGGAAGACCCGCGTTGACCTCATTGACCGCATCGAGGGGCAGGAGGGCAGATGAAGGGGTGGAGGGGGCATGGAGGGAGATGAGCGCCATTTGGAACGTGGCTTGAGCCACCTTAAAGCAAGACCCGCGTTGACATCATGGACCAGATCGAGGGGCAGGAGGGGCAGATGAGGGGAATGGAGGGGCATGTGGCGAGATGAGTGCTATCAGGAACGTGGCTTTGAGCCGCCTCAAAGCAAAGCAAGACCCGCGGTTGACATCACTGACGGCTTCGAGGGGGCAGGAGGGGAGATGAGGGATGGAGTGAGCCGCCTCTAAGCAAGGCTCGCATTGAATGCCCCCCATCATGGACACCACGGACCGCTTTGAGGGGCAGGACGGGAGATGAGGGGTGGATGGAAGTGAGCAGTGCAACACGGAATTGGGACTGAGAGTGTGGACAAAGAGATGATCTTTTTCATAGCAGAGGCGGGGTTTGAGCGTATGTACCCTGAGGTTGTCTGAACTGAATGCTGACTGGGCCCGACTGACTGGGCTGACAAACTGACAGGACTGACGGAACTGACAGACCTGACTGACTGAAATGCTCACTGACCGCCATGCTCTGTAGCTGTCTGAGACCGGTTAGACTGACAGAATCTTCTGACTGACTCGCTGACTGGAGGATTGAGGGACCGGATTGACTGGCTGGCTGGCGGACTGCGTTTGATAGGCCTTTGGACGGAGCAAGTGTGAGGGCTTGGCTTCTGAGTCGACTCAAAAGTCACCCGGGCTGCTTCTGATGGGCTCTTGGAGCAAGCGTGAGGCCTTGACTTAGCACTCAAGTGGAAGTTGGAATCATTCACAGGCAGACGGGCTTCTCAGCAAGCAAGGAAGGGAGTGGGGTGCTGTCCTGATGTCACAGGCGAAAAGGACTGGGCATCATCTGATGTCACAGGTTAGCTCTCTCTCCTGAGCACTGCTTCGACCCGACCCCCTTGACTTGTTTCCTCTTGTTTCCTACCCGCAATGCTCGCCCCCCGTCCTCCTGCTCTACTTGCATCATTCCTTCGTCCCGATCCCACCCCCTCCCTCTCCATTCTTCCCCATCCCCCTCCTCCTCCTTCTCCCCCCTCCCCTGGCACACCCTCGTCTCTTCCGCCCCCACTTTCACTTTGGCCCCCTTGTCTTTACCACTTCATCCCATACTACACTTTTGGGGGGTTTTTAGTTGCTGTCTCTTCCCATTCTGTGCTGCGCTTTTGTTCCGTTGCTTGCTTGTTCCCTGGTGAATGTCTGTCATCGCTATAGTTGTCGCCACTACCGGTATTGAACTCATTGAAAACAGATGCGTTGAGCCACCCTTCGGTGAAAACTCATTTCAGTTGCTACCATTTACCCCTTCTTTTCCCACCGTTTCTGCGTTGTTATTCTCCCTTTTTGTGTCTTTTTATATGTTTCATGTGTTAAAGTTCAACCACTTGGGGGGCCTACCAAACGCGGATCATTACAGCAGGGCAGTGTCTGTTGACAAGTGCAAGATTTTACGCATCCAAGGAACAGAAAGTTGTGCCAATGCCCATCAGCAGAAGATGCTTTGTGCTGAAATGAGCCTGCCACCTCTCCACACCTACCAGTTCTGGCAGTGCCTTGGATGGCAGGTGTACCCATTGTACCATGGCATATGGCATGTGCGTGTCACGGAATTTGGTGGAACCCCTAGCAGGCTAGGGAGAGGGCAGCACAAGAAGTGTAATTGCACAGACAGGAGCACCAGGCGGTTATTGGTCACATACGTAACACAATCTATTTCAAACCAGTGTTTCTCCCTGAGTGATGTCTTATCTTGGGCAAGCTACCAAGATTTCTCGTAGATGGTCTTGCATGTGTGCGGCATCGTAGGTAACTGACGAGGATAGCTCTCTCGGTACGGCTGTGTGTTGGGAACAGCATTGGTTTGTAACGAGGATAGCACACGCTCTCGAAGCCAAGCCTGCTCACCCAGTGACTAATTGCACTCCAGTCAAAACATAGCAGGCAGGAAGATAAGTCGCCTCAGAAGTTCCGACTGTGCGACAGCCATGGCATCCACACCTGCGTGTACTGTGTGTGCATCGACGCACCTCGCATGCACTGCCTTGCTGACGTTTGTCCCTGTAGATCCACGCAGCACGCGTCTGGCGGCAAAACCGAGGAAAGGCGCAGAGGATTGGGAAACGCGGGTGAATCCGGGACTCATTTCCTCGGTTTTGCCGGCGAGCAGTCAGGCGTCGAGGCCCAGGACCTGGGACTCATTTCCTCGGTTTTGCCGGCGAGCAGTCAGGAGTCGAGGCCCAGGACCTGGGACTCATTTCCTCGGTTTTGCCGGCGAGCAGTCAGGAGTCGAGGCCCAGGACCTGGGACTCATTTCCTCGGTTTTGCCGGCGAGCAGTCAGGAGTCGAGGCCCAGGACCTGGGACTCATTTCCTCGGTTTTGCCGGCGAGCAGTCAGGCGTCGAGGCCCAGGACCTGGGACTCATTTCCTCGGTTTTGCCGGCGAGCAGTCAGGAGTCGAGGCCCAGGACCTGGGACTCATTTCCTCGGTTTTGCCGGCGAGCAGTCAGGCGTCGAGGCCCAGGACCTGGGACTCATTTCCTCGGTTTTGCCGGGGAGCAGTCAGGAGTCGAGGCCCAGGACCTGGGACTCATTTCCTCGGTTTTCCTCGGTTTTTCCTCATGACTCGCTACTCCATTCGCCTCGCGTGGCGTGATGGAAACGTTATGATGCCAGCGGGCGGGGCGAACGACGAGGGTCGATAGGGCACCGCGTTGCTCGGGGCGGTCCCTCGAGATTCGCTGTTTATCGTTTTCGGCGACAAGATGACACTTCGTTGAGCCAGGCGCGACAGGCACGACAGGCGCAACAGGCGCATGAATTGTCCGTTTGCTCGACTACTCGTAATCGACCCGTCACGACTCCCGACGACTCGTCCCAAGAGCTGACGGCTGCTTCGAGTGCCAGCCGGTCGAAAGTCAATCGACGCACTCGAAGCACGGTGATGAGACTGGCGGTGTGTTTTTGAGAACACATATCTCAAAAACAGGGGGCAACTTGACGGTTGAACTAGTCTGGCCTTTTGACGGCTGCTTCGAGTGCTGGTCGGTTTGCCGGTCGGTCGGTTTGCCATCACTAGAGCAGATCGGCCAAATCGATTGACCCTGTCCAGGATTGCCGGCGATGATTGACTGACCGTCGTCTTTGCTGTCGGTCAGCCGATCGCGGTGGTGACTCGCCAGGCCGCTTATGCGGGCAGGAAGGCAGAGACTGGCAGGCTCTCGAAAGCACTCTCGCAGACTCGAAAGCAGGCAGACGAATCAGATCTGACAGACAAGGCGACAGTCAGTGCGACTGAGAGACGTTACTTTACGACAGATCCGACAGACAGACCAGCAGCCAGTGCGACAGTCAGTCAGTGCGACTGAGAGACGTTACTCTACGACAGATCCGACAGCCAGACCGACAGATCCTCTATGCGACGAGTCGTTTGACCAATCGCCACGTCGCCAAAGGACATATCTGACCGCCAGAGGGACAGCCGGTCGCCACAGGGACAGCCGGTCGCCAGAGGGACAGCCGGTCACCAAAGCACATCTGACCCGTGACAGGCCAATCGGTCCGTCCGACTGATTGCCGCCCTCTGACGGTCAAAACACTCTAACCGTCAGGGCGGGCACACCGACCGTCAATGTTCCTCATGAGCGTTCGACGGTGGAACCACTTGCCAGCTTGGCAGGCCGAGTCGCAGTCAGCTTCTGCTCCCAGTGACTACTTAAGCGGAGCGTGAGGCTGAGGAGTCTCAGTGCGTTAATCGAGCAGCGACGCTTGCATCGACATTGACTGGCGATCTTCCTGCCACTCAAGCAGAGTCCGCCATTCAAAGACACTGACCCGTGCCAAGCCACTCTGATTCACCGGCGTCTGACGAGCACTGCCTGCCGCCTCGTCCCCTTGAGACCTCAAAACCGCGTGTGCTTATCTCCAGAGATCCACTGTGCACATCCACTGTGCTTATCTCTGCAAGTTTCAAATCTCTGCGATCTGCTGGGTGGAAACGATGGCGACGCGGCCTTCACTTCCGTTCCGTGCTACTGCAGCGGTGGTCTTCGTGGCTCTCTTCCTCCTCATCGCTGCTGGTGAGGAAACCCAATTTCCTGTCGTCTCACCGCTCTTTCTTTCTCCCTCGCTTATTTCTCTTGTTTCCCCGCAGCTCGCATACCACCTACACCACCCACACCTCCCCGCAGCTCGCATACCACCCACACCGCCCACACCTCCCTCACCCTCTCTTGCCTGCTCTGCGCCCGCTCCCTCCATTCCCCATTCCTCCTCTTCAATCCATATTCTCTCATTCCTCCCTTACCCTCTCATGCTCCCTCTTTCTCCCACTCCGTTCCTGCAGACGCGCAGCCCACACCCGGTCAGCAGCAGCCCCCCATCCGCCCATCTACCTCCTCCCCCCCTTCCTCCTCCCCTTCCTCCTCCCCTTCCTCCTCCCCTTCCTCCTCCCCTTCCTCCTCCCCTTCCTCCTCCTCCCCTTCCTCCTCCCCGCCCTCCTCCATCCCCCTCTCGTCGTCCGCTCCCTCGTCCTCCCCTCCTTCCCCCTTCTCCTCGCCCTTCCAACCTCTCCTCTTAGGCGGCCTTCAGGCCAACCTCACGCCCATCCTTCTCCCCACCTCCACCGCTCCCAATCCCATTACCACCACTCCCACTCCTGGCGCAACCGGTGCTAGGCCCGGTAATGCATCTAATGCCGCTGGTATAAATGGTGCAGCGGCTCTGCCAGGTGGCGGCGCCTCAGTGGTCACGCTGCTCCTGAACGCAGCCAATGGCACGGTCGGATTCGCTCTTCCCTGGGCGCAAGGGGCGGGGGAGAACGTGCAGGCTGGGATTTACACTGTGGGGGACATGCTCAATGGTGAGTTTTTGGAGTTGCTCTTCCTTTGTTGGGGTAGAGTATGGGTTCAACCTTCTGTGGCGCAGGGGGCGGGGGAGAACGTGCAGGCTGGGATTTACACCGTGGGGGACATGCTCAATGATGAGACTCGTTGTAACAGTCCGTCCAGTTCTATCAACGCCACCCCTCCGTCTGCTTCCTCACAAGCATATGCGTACGCACAAGCTCACTCCCCCCCCCCCTTCCCTCGCAGCGTCTACACCCCGCCTCGTCCTTCCACTCATCAGTACGACTGTCGATTCCACCCCTGCTGCTGCTGGCTCCGCCACGCGTGTCACATCAGCTTCCTCTTCTCCCATGCAGCCTCTCAGCTCCGCTGCAGCTGCGTCGTCGTCCTCATCCTCCAGCCAACCCCTGGACGCCGTATCTGCAGCAGTCTCCTCGACTGTGCCCTCGTTTCCACCCCTGGGCCCTGCTGCTGCTGCAGCAGCCACCTCTTCCTCTCCCATTCAGCCCCTCAACTCCGCTGCAGCCTCCTCTTCGCCCTCCTCGAGCCAACCCTTGGACGCCTTAACTGCAGCGTCAGCGGCACTTGCGGGTGCAATGGCGGGATTAGGCGGAGCTTCAGGGGCAACCGAGGGGCCCAGTGTCACTGTAGGCACGATGACAGGAGCAGGGGCGACAGGGGCGGGATCAGGATCAGGGTCAGGGGCAGGGGCATCAGGGGCAGCTGGACCATTTACAGGAGCACCACGGAGGGGCTTGTCTGGAGTTGAGGCAAACCCTGTAGCTGCAGCAGTAGGGGCAGCACAGGGAGCCCTGGGCAGGGGTTCTGGGTGGTTGTGGGGAGCTGTGCCTGTGCCGGGTGCGGCGCTCGTGAATATTCTGAGGGACCCCAGTCAGTACCAGGTGCGGCTGTCTGTTGGCAGTGGCGCCGATGCTGCCTCCTTTGCCGGTCGACTAGTGGTAAGCTTCGTAGTGACTAGAGACATCAAACGAAGCCTAGTGAGAGGGGGGCAGCACTAGGCCTCAGTGAATATTCTGAGGGACCCCAGTCAGTACCAGCTGCGGCTGTCTGTTGGCAGTGGTGCCGACGTTTCCTCTTTTTGCAAGCCGTCTTGTGGTGAGTGGATAGCAGGAAACCGCATTGCAAGGTGCCTCCTCCCCCCCCCTCCCCCTTTCTCTCTCCCCACTGCCCAACTTCCCCCCTCTTCCTCGTTCGCCAGGCCGTACCTATCGACTTGGCTCGGAGCATCCCCTTCCTTGGCTCGCTGATTCCCGAGCCTCCTCGGCTTCCTGTGCAGCACAATCTTGGTATGATTTGAGTCGACTCAAAACACAGCCCAAAACACAGCCCAGTCTTGATAAGACGCTCTCTTCCGTGCCATGCCTATTCTTGTTTCTTCTCTGTTTGGTGTCCTCCCCACGCTGTCCCCCCCCGTCATTACCTTCGATTGGGAATGGAGGAACGGTGTGATGTGGTAGAACCAGTGAAACCCCAAACTCAGGGTGTGTTTGTTTTCTCATTCGTCCGGGTCCAGAGATGTGGTGTTCCTCTCCGAGCACTCTGACGATATATTCCTGCTTTTCTTGCATCCCTATCGACCCTACTTCCCCTTGCCTGATTCAGGCATTCCCACCCCCCAGTCCCTCCTCTCTATTGTGTCTGCAATTCGTGAAGGCATCGCAGCTCTCCCCCAAGCTGCCTGTAAGTTTGATAACCAACCACAGTTCAGGATTTGTTGCATTTGCCTTGTAAATTTTGGCACATTGTTGCTTACTTCGTTTTTTATTTTATTTTATGTGCAGTGGGATCGGCGAACGTTCCATGGCTGTCTGACTTGGCCAATGCCCTCGTTGAAGCTGCAAGGAGCAATCCCGTGGCCAATCTGCTCCCTTGAGGTGGTTGTAAATTGCATGCAATTGGGGGATTAGTGTTAAAATTATATATTGTGTTATATAATTGTTAGGCTTGGTAGGTTACTGAATTTTACTGTAGAGGGTATAACACCCATCCTCGTATCCCTCTCTCTTCTATTCCCAACTCCCTTTTCCCTCAACTTTTCTCCTTCCTAAACCTCATGCCTTTCCTAGCTTCCTAGCTAAGCTAGCCTTCTAACAATTAGAACTAGTGTCTGTCTATACGAATGCCCTGCACTTGAATTATGTGAAACAGAGGTGCTATCAAGCAGAGTTTGCTTCTTAAAAGTCATGTCAAACTACTACTACTATGAATGAGGAATTCATCAGTGTTTGTGTATAGCAGATACGCTAAATGAGAAATTAACAGGATGTTTGTTTGTTTGTTCCTTGTTGAAAGGGTGTATGAGAACCCTGGCGATGTCGTGTAACCCTTCAAATGTTTCACTGATAGATTTGGTGAACCGGACAGCTGTTGTTCGATGGGCTGGACCTGGAAACGGATGCGCATTCCACGTGGTAGATTCGGTAAACCATATGGCTGTTGGTTGATTGGCTGTACGATTCCACGGGAAACACAACCGTGAGGTTCTGAATGCGGATGTCGAGGTGATAAGAATCACGTGGCAAGGCCCGAAATAACTGGGACCTTTGGTTTTGCGGAGGGTTGCTCTTGCGCACTTCCTCCACTCGTTGCGATCACTTATCACCTCCTCATAAGGTGTGGTGCATAGTGCCGCATCGCTGACTTCCCGACTTTTCAGAAGTCGTCTTTTCGCGGCTGCGGCGCAATCGAAAGCAAGCCCCACAGCCGCCACACGCTGGAAGTGGTCTAGAATCCATCAACGTGGATTTGAGAACTCACCAATGAGATGTCTTTGTCGCAAGATTTGCAGCCAATCCGAGACTTCGTTGAAGTGGTTGTCGAGTCAGACCATCCACTGAAGGTGGCCGAATCTCTTTGCCTCGCTTTTGCTACCACAGCGATGTGGTGTGTTACATCCTTTGTCGCATCTGACTTGGGATTGTGGCATCGTTTTTTTTTCTTTCGCGAGTGTCGCTCGACCATCAGGGTTGTTCGCAAAACGACTTGACTGCCCCCCATCTCATTCTCTGGTCAGGTACACCTCCCCGCGGTATTTTCACACCCAGTATTTCCACAGGGGATGCCTCTGAGAGGGTATTCACCCCCCGAAAGCAGCTCCTGAAGGCCAGATCCGGATACCGTAGAACTTGGGTTTCTAAATCGATTTAGTGATTCTCGAGTCAGGAAACCCGACATCAGCTTAGGCAGTGCTCAAAAGTTTTTTCCCGCGTGGAGTCTGCCAAGCTTAGGCCTTAAGGGACAAGGGGGTACTGTCTACGCACTCAGAAATGGTCAGGGTGGAAACAAAAAGTTTTCTGCCACCCAGTTTCAGGATGTGAAATTACCGCGGGCCAAGTGTAGCAGCCTCCGCGAAGCGCAATGCTGTGCGCCCTCCCCGCCTCGAAAGCGCCTTGGGATTTCTTGTGGGGCAGCATAACGGGCATCCGAATGGTGTTGGAGTGGTGTGGTGATGGAGAAACGAAAAGCAAGAGCCAACTCCATTCGATAGATGACGGAAAAAAAGAACCACCAATGCAACGAAAGCCGGTACAGCCAGGCAACAGAATTGGTTGGCCCGGATGGTTGGTGGAAGGGAGGAACGGTACAAGACAGTGACGGCTATTTCAAAGCGTTTTTAGTTGTTTAAGTACGGTTCAGTAAGGTTAAGAAGGTTTGTCTCTTCCCACTCCACCTCCCCACCTCCACATTCCGTTCAACACCCCAAGTCCCACTGGCGTTGGTTGAACCCTCGACTACTACTAGTTCTAGTGCCTGGAGCACTCCATTCACCAGACATATCTGGTAGTTCACCGCTTGTGGCAGAAGCACGGGCTCTTGTGGTTTCGCTTCTGAGATTTTGTGTTACCACTGTCATTAGAGAAAGCCTTTCTCGGTGTTGATATGAATTAGCTGCTCGGAAGCAGCGGCAGAACTAACTTTCAGCTTCAAGCGAGCCTTGGCGCTTCTTGAAAGACAATCTCGCTTGTTTGTTCGTTCTCATTTGGCGGCAACCTATGGCTTCTACGCCATCACACTTCGCACTCGAAGCAGCAGCAACGAGCACCAGCAGCAGTACCAGCTCAGTCAATTCTCCAGCAAACGCGTCGACCTTGGGAATGCCGACAGGGCCGCCCTCCACGACAGCCACGTTCTCCCCCGTCACTTTCGCCGCAGCCGTCGGCGCATGCGTCCTCGTCTTCGTCATCATCTCGCTCCTCGTCTACCTCATGCGACGGTTCAAATGTCACCAACCAATAGGCGGCGACCTACCGAGCCCGCAGCCGCCGCATCGCGTCTGGGTTCGCATCGGCGGGAGGAACAATTCTGCGAAATCCGCTGCAGCTGCGGGGCTCGACGCGTCGCTGATTCGTTCCTTCCCTGTTATGATCTACAGCTCGGAAAAATCGGCAGCGGCGGCAGCGGAACTCACGGAAAAACTCGTGTCGCACTCCGAGTCGCAAGAATTGCACAAACAGGTTCAGCCTGTCACAACGGTTGTTGTTGCTGACGGCGACTCGGAATCCATTGATTTGGCTGGCGAGACCGACAATTGCGCCGCCATTTCCGCCACCAATCCCGCTCATCACGTGGTTGTCACCCTGGACGAAGATAACGCGTGTCTACGCGAGTGCGCGGTGTGCCTGGGTGATTATGACGAAGGTGAACGTATCAAGCTGCTGCCGCCGTGCGGCCACCGCTTTCACGCGGACTGCATCGACCTATGGCTGTCCTCTAAAAGCACCTGCCCGATTTGCCGGAAAGACCTTCGTCCCGATTCGGTATCGGCCGGGGACGCATGCGAAAAGCCGTTACAAAATGATGACGAGGAATTGCGAAACGCGCGGCGAAGACTGAGCGAAGCCGTGGAGGCTGGGGAGCGGATCGTCACGGTTTTCGTGAACGAAGAGAGTCGCGAAACCAGTGATGTCGAGGCTGGTAGTCGCGATGGGCCCGCGCGACTAGAGGCTGTAGTTTTGCGGAGAGACAGCGAAAATGGCGTTGACGTAACCGTGGTCATGCGAAGAGATGGCGACGGGCCGCGAGGAGCGCCAACCGTCATCGCAGCTATCGCATAGCGCCTAGAAGTATCGTTTAGAACGGTCGATAGTTCTCCTGGCTGTTACCGACCCGCCGATAGTCGACGACTTAATGAGGCGTACGCGAAATCGCGTAGCTCATGTCATGCTCCTCCTAAGTATCCGTTGGTACAGAGATTAGGACGGACGGAGAGCGGAACGGGAATCAGCTTAGCTTACCAGCTGTCATCTCACGCTGGTGACCCCGGGGGTGTCTCTGTTCCAACCAATTTTCCCAACCCCCCACAATTTTGACTCCTATTTGTATATGTATGGATGCAGTATCATGGCTTTTTCTTCACACTCCTGCCGGTCGTCGATGTATGGATATATTCACACTCATGGGTTGGGTCGGGGGGCTAGGGGAGGGACGAACTGGGTGGGCGGGAGTGAGGGGTAATACATACTTTAGGTGTGGTAAGCGGTTGGGATGGGTGGGGAGGTAGGAAAGTTGGGAGAAACAGGGAATGGAGAAATAGCAGTGATGGGCTTCAATCAAATGGCTAGTGCCAATAGCGCCTTTGAGCAGGGCCCAAGATTGGTTTAGAGGCACCCTTGGGAATCAGGGTACCGCTACAGAATTACCCTGCCTCCTAGGGTGGAATTTTCAGCACCCTTGGAAAATCAGGGTGATTTCGTAAGAAATAGTCAATACGTTTGAGTCAGGGTACTAAGCCATCACCCTGTCCACTAACAGCTTCTACAATTTCAGCTTCTTATTAGCAAACATACAAGTAGTATCATTACAGCAAAGCATCAACATCCTCTCCTACTTCAGCTATTCTGCCAGCATTGCTCCACTGCACAGATACAGTAACAGCGTGTCAAAATGAGAACGAATAATGACTAGAGGTGGAAACCTAGAACAAATACTAGTTGGTTGTACTCACTAGAAGCATACCTCAGTCTAGCCTATAACTTCTACATAGATAATATGTATAAGTTGACACACCCCCTAGGCTAGACAAGGGGTGAAACTAAACAAGAAACAAACAGCTCAGGGCGGCACTACTAGTCCAACCACTGAGGCAGGGGTCTGGAGACCAGTCAGCAAGAATACAACCAAAACTGAAGCAAGCCAGGGTGGCACTACTAGTCCAGCCACTGGAGGTAAGGCCACAAGGCCAGTCTGACAAGCATATATAATAGAGAGTACACAATCAGGATCCTAACAGGGGAGCAGCTACAGGAACAAGACCAAGCTGTACACAGTGCCGCTGATGATCTTTAGGCGCAAGCGCCTTAGTAAAGATATCAGCTGTGTTGGCACCTGAGGCCAAGTGAACTACGCGGGCCTGGCGGCGCTGCTGTAGCTCACGCAGGAGAAAGTACCGCAGCTGGATATGCTTCGCTCTGCCCTCAAGCCGAGGCTCCTGACACAGGAGTATCATGGCCCTGTTGTCAGCGTACAGGACCGGGGCAGAGCTAGGCCGCTCACCTAAGTCTGTGAGCAAGAAGGTCAGCCAGCGGAGCTCCTGTGCCGCCATGGCACCAGCGTAGATCTCAGCCTCACAGCTAGACTGAGCCACAGACGACGAGCGAGTGGATCTCCAAGAGATAGCACCCGAACCAAGGCTGAAACAGTAGCCCTGTGACGACCTGAGCGTCTCAGCGTCGTCTGCCCAAGAAGCGTCTGTGTGCCCAGTAAGGACCACTGGCCTGCGTCCTCCTAGCACTAACCCCATGCCTGATGTACTAGCAAGATAACGCAAAACCCTCTTAGCGGCAGACCAGTGCTGAGGTCGGTGTCTGCCTGTAGCCACAAAGCGAGCCAGGATGCTGAGAGGGTATGCGAGATCTGGGCGCGTGCAAGTCATCAGGTACATGAGGCAACCCACCAGCTCTGCGTAGGGGCCACTGGGCTCTACTGGCTCCTCAGGAACGGGAGCAGAGAGCCCATGGTCTACGGGTAGAGGTGTGGGCTGTGCGGAGGAGAACTGAAGACCGAACCTCTGAAGGACCTGACGCACCAAGTGTGACTGGGTCAGAGTGATGGTGCGTGCTGCTCTGTCCCTGGAGATCTGCAGGCCAAGATAGCGACGCAGCTCTCCAAGGTCAGTGCAGGTGTGTCTCTTCAGCAGCTCAGCCTTCACAGAGGCCAGTGCGTCCCTGTCAGGGAGTAGCGAA